TAGTGACATAGTGCATGTGCCGTGTACGTGAGCCGTCTACGTGTGCTTGTGCGTGCGCGGGCGCGGGCGTGTGTGTGCGTGCGTGCGTGCGTGCGTGCGTGCGTGCGTGCGTGTGTGCGTGCGTGCGTGCGTGCATGAATGCGTCCGAGTGTCTTTGTTTGTGTGTTTGTTTGTTTGCTTGTTTCTTTGTTTCTTTAGTTCGCTCTTTCTGTATTTGTGTAGTTCTTTCTTTGTGTGCTAGTGCTTCGCAGCACATTGGCTTGAGCTCGTGTACATACGGGCATATATGTATTTGTGCTTTATAATACATGATGTAGTGTATAATGTATAGTGTATACTCTATAGGTTATAACCCATAGCATATGATACATAATCTATAATATAGAATATATACTATGTAGCGTATAATATATAATATAATGTCATCCAATGTGATATAGCATAATGTAACATGACATAGTACAACATAATTTAGATATACGGAGATATACATATACAAACATACATATATATATATATATTTATTTATTCGAGATCTAGGCATGCGTGTATACATATATAACATGTACATATTATCATAGCCATATTCTATGCACACGTGATGTATCTTTATCAGTTTATGAAACGACTTACTGCCTGCCAAAGTCTACTAGTAGGAGTCTAGGAGACAGCTGACGAGACCTGTACGTCAATACTGACAATCGAATTTACCAAGCACTGCTATGTCGTCTTTCATCTGCAATGTCCGGATCTGTTGAAGCCTCCTACACTCCCCCGATCAGTCCCTGCTTTTGCGTCTGCACATATGTCGGATGCAGGATGCTAGGATAACGGTTCAGATGAACCTGCATACAACTGTCCTGGAATTGGGGATCCACGCAGGCAACCTTGCCCGCTGCTCGCCCCTGCCAGCCCATCAGCTAAGTCTGCCTGACCCCTACCATGCAACACACAGGCTGCGGCGACTGCAGTCTTCTTGAAGGAATTCTGAAGGCGCTCGGAGACCCGAACATCCTGTTGTTCCCTGGTCCGCGAGCTCTGAAGCCCTGCAACTGCGAGCCTGGACGTGGACCAGTCGCCCACGATTGTCGGTGTCCAGTTGGTCAGCATGGACACTGCGAGGCGCTTGCAGGGCTTTAGGGATGAGGAGATTCGGGGAGGAATCGGACATCCTCTGCCATCCGCCTGAGAGCCTTTTTGGCACATGCCCCCGGCTTTAGCTCGGAGATTCGGCTCCGCGATCTGCCCGTTGGGCAGATCACGGTCTTAAACCAAATGGAATCCACATCTTCATCCTTGATGAAATGCAGAGATGCTGGACGGCGGAGGAAGATCCCTCCTGATCGGCGCACGCGGCCCTAGTCACGATGGAACATGTCTGGCGTGTTCTGAGGTTTACAGGACCCCGGGTTCGTTCTCCATAGAGACGGCACATGAAGCAACCGAGCAGGGCAGCTGCACGCCCCCCAGGCTCCAAAATCAATCCCGCAGCATTTCGCGGAACCTGAAGTGCCCGGTAGTGTCTGTTAAAATGTGGGGGTTGGAGCTGTATTGTCAGACACTTGGGCGGAAACCGAAGTGAAACCATCACGCTGCAACCGCAGCAGAGTGAGCCTACTCCAAGTCGGCCGTCACTTCTCGCCTGGCGTCATGGCGCACATGTGCAAAGGAGGCTCCAAGTACGACTCCGAGGACTTAACGGACGTGCTCTCTGCACAGATATCAAAGAACTCCAACTGCCGTCTTTCGCCACGAACAATCGTCCACGACTGACGAGTTTTGACTCTGGTGGCCTCAAAGAATCTGGTGGAGGTTCAGCAGGTTCCAGATGCTCGGCCAAGAAGCCACAGAGCTCCCCTCAGATAGCTGCTTCTGCTTGTTGCAAGCGATGGATGCTGATGTTGTGGATCCCTCCCATGATCTGTGCCAAGAACACAGACGTGTGTTGCATGCATGCATATATATATATATATATATCAGATATGCGTACATGTATACATACATACATACATACATACATACATACATACATTCATATCATATCATAGCATATCATATCATATCATATCATATCATATCATATCATATCATATCATACCATATCATATCATATCATATCATACATCCATACATACATACATACGTATACATACCTGCATACCTACATACATACATACATACATACATACATACATGCATACATACACACATACGCACACACACACACACACATCCATGCATGCATGTCAGCATGCATGCATCCATCCATCCATCCATACGTATATGTAAACACAGAAAGAAGCAAAACAACACGTTTCATGCATGTAGGTACGTACAACCCTTCTATACATCATTCCTTGGAGTAGTTTCCAGACTCGTCATGCCCATGTAGCATACCATGTCTGCCGAATGGCCCACCAGCGAGTGGACCTTCAAGAACTCTTCCGCAACCCATTTACGGAGCTCGACAATGTCCTGGAAGCTTCCAGGAATTCCACGCCCAGCTTGGAAGGGTAAAGCTGCGAGTATCATCTACATCGTGCTGGACTGCGGTTCCAGCAGAGTGTGCCGGCAACCATGCTGCTCCGTCTGTGCCCTCGTTGATTTTTAACCCTGCGGTGCACTACTTCCTTAACTTCCGCCGAAACCCCAGCGGTTGCATGAAGAATCGGAGAGGTTGCCAATCTCCCGAAAATCAGGAAACTGGTGGAAGTTTTGAAGATTACCGGCAGAAGGTACGTGAAGGAGCAGTCTGGGTATAGCTCTTTCCACTATTTCGTCGCCCTTTCAACCGTAAGCGGCAACTCTTTCGCATTCTGCCCGGTTATACCGTTATACCATAGAAAAAGGGTTGCATTTCGCACGCCCGCTTTATCACTCGAAGCCCGAATCGCATTCGCAGATCGGAGCAGGGTCCTTAACGGTGGTCTTGTTGGAGCCTCGCAGCGTGAGCATGGCAGACCTTGGCCACAACAAGCACGTGCTCGGCACTCGGATGATTCTGGTGCTGAAATGAGGATGATGAAGATGAGGAAGAGGATGATGATGACGGCGGTACTGATGGGGATGCTTCTTCTGGGTAAAACGGGTACTACTACTGCCTCCACTACGTTTGCTGGTCCACCTACGATTGAGACTATTCCCTGGATGATGAGTACAATCAGGCCTAGCTGAGCCTACTGCCGTGATGACCACAACTGCCCATACTTGCATCCTCACGCGGTGCTTGAGACCAAGGCAAAGACCTGCCTGAAGCAACCTCATGGCTACATCTGCAACACGGGCATCAAGATCGTGGAACCGTTCGCTGAGATGCCAGTGCACAGTTCGCACAACATGCAGCCGGATGGCATGAAGTCCAAAAACAAGATCGCTTCGTCATCTTCGAACAACAGTTTGCCAATGTCTGCCGCAGCCATCACATCCTAGCAGAGAGCGCTCATGAGTGCACGATTCAGTGCACGATCAGCTTTAACCAGGCTGCACAAAATCAAGGAGTCGTGGCTTATGCGGCGTCAAAACCTCTGCTTTCGTCGTAAATTGTGATGTTGCATTTGCCGGTTCTGAACCAAAAGCAGATTACGGTTTACTTTACGAGCCACCAGCATGCCTTGAAGCGGACGAGCCACAACTCCGATACTCACCAGCGCCTTCGCGGCCTTTTTCTTGCTGAGCAAATCCTCAAATTCCTGCCCAAGCTGTGTGCTGAAGCCGGAGTCTAGAGCCCCGGCCCACAAAAAGGCAGAACGCTAAGAAGAGCTTGTACTCCAAGGTCTGGACTGTTTGGCAACGCCTGAAACGTCAGCAAGCCCGATCCGCTACTTCCACAAAGACTTAGAGTGGGGATTGGTGTATTGGACCGAATGACTCCACTACGCACTTGAGGGAGGCTGTTCCGTGCGGTGATTGAAACCAAAGAGCGTCCCGTCATCTCTTCTGAGATTCTGTAATGCTGAATGATAGCGCTTTTGGAGTCTCTGTGTGTCCACTTCGTGGGAGATGAGCAAGGGCACCCTCAGGAAACCAACCGAACCCAATTTCGCTTCGAGGCTTCTTCAAATTACCTTTTCGGGGGGCTGTCTGGGGCTTCCTAAGATTCACAAAGTCACGAATTTGAGCTGCCACCACTGCCTTGCGAGTGATTAAGCGCTCATCATCCTCAGATCCATCCTTCTCCAGCATGTTCCACAAAACCTCGAAAAAGTTGAGAAATTGCTTTTGCAGACAGAATCAGACAGAGTCAGCCTCCGCTACTTGTGGCAGCATCAACAACCATCAAATAACACTTCTGGCATGCTCGAGAAAGGAGGTCCAAACTTCTGCAACAGCCATATTCGGGAAGCCTTTCGTGCCACCTCCGCATCCAGGTTTTCGCGCTCGATCAGGGTCACCGTCTTGACTGCTTCCACTAGGACACCCAGGAGCATGTTCATGACCTGGCGTTGCTGCAATGTGGTTTCAGGCTCTCCGTTGTTTGCTTCGGCTCGGCCCACCGCAGCCCTCGCAACAGCAAGCGATCTTGGTTTAGTAAGTGTCCGACAGTGAAGGAGCCGAGGAGGATGAAGAGCAAGACCAAGCCAGCAAGAGGTTCATTCTCCGTCGCCACAGAGCGGAAGAAGACCTTCATGATCACTCTGGGTTGACCCGCCGTTTTTGAGAACTGGAGCTTCAACTGCTTTCCTTCACCTCATGCCGAGCTGAACAGCTGCCAAACCATTTAGTTGTACCGGAAGCTCCGAAGGCCAAGGCCTGAAATAGGCCAACTCTCGCAAAGGGGCAAAGGGGCACGGGGACGGAGACTACAGGCACTGCTTTCCCTCATGCATCTTCAGGTCCTCTCTCTACTGACCCCCCCCCCCCCCCCCCCCCNNCCCCCCCCCCCCCCCACCTCTTGGTCGGGCAGGATGCAGTGGAGGATCCTTCAGCTGAAAGCTGTGGCTATATTCGTGGGGATCACGATCCGCTCTCACATTGCCGAAGGGGCGTTTCGATGCTAATCTGCACACCAGACCACTTCTGAAAGGGTAGTGTGTTCTACAGCATTTGACTGAGTATGCCCGAGCCTGAACTAAAGAGAAAGTCAAATGAGCCTCCATCTGTCCAAAGCCCCAATTAAGCAGGGACACCGCCAAGTCAGTTACATTAGTAGACACGCTTACTGCAAGAACTCTCTCGGAACGCTCGTGACTGCAAACCGGCAGATCATGTCGAGAAACAGTGTACCGACAGTGTTCCACAGCGTATCGAAGTAGAGAGCTTCGAGAGCTGTGCCACGGCTGAATTCCATGAAGTTGATACCGAAGATGACCTGAGTCTGGGGCTTTGAGTGCTGCTGGCCCTGCTGCTACATGCATCTTCGTGAACTCCAACGTTCCGCACACCGCATTCTGGGAAAAAGAAACCGCTCCAGACATCCGCGTTGTCTACTGTTGCACCAAACGCTTAAGACACACAGGGTTAAGGAATGGCTTCAGGTCGACGGGCTCATGCTGCCGTGGTGCAGTAAGGATAAGCAGAAGCAGCAGCGTGAAGAACACAGATCGGCAAGCAACCATCATGCCCTTGATCAAAATCATCAATTCTGGCATGAACTTCACGAGTCTTGCCTGGGTTCATCTTGGCTGACGGATCAGGGTTTAGGGTTCAGCCTGATCTATTGCTGTAAAGTGTGGCTTGAAACCGTTAGTCACTTTTAGTCTGACATGAGATGGCATAGATGGCATTCGACGCTCACCGTCACAAGAGAAGTCCACTCAGAAAGCCTCTCCTGCTGGCAACCCTCCCGGTTGATAAAGGCTGGCACCGCGAAAGCATCCCTGAAAGCGCATGAACTGCATGCAAACAGCCTCAAAGCCTAAACCTTCAACCCAAACTGCCTTGACCCTGGACAGTACCTGCGAAAACTTACCTACAGACCCTAAAACACTCAAACCTGAACCCCAAAACCTACAGTACGTGAGCCCGAAACCCTTTGCGCAACCCCAAAGACTCTTCCCTGGATCGCTCTTTGCGGCAACGTTGCGAGGCGGACCTGGTCACAGCCAAGACAGTTTGTTTTCGTATGATATGCCCCCTCAAAGCTTGTTCTGATTATTCAGGCCCCTATGTTACCGGTATCGCGGAGTGAGCTATGATGTCTGTTTTTCTGTTTTGATTTTTAACAAACCGTATTGCTAGTGGTATAATCAGTATTCTTACAGTGGCTAAAAAGTGTTGCTGCTCTACGCCAGGTACTCATTCGAGTATACGGTTGTTTCTGACATTCTGATGATAGCAATACTTCTACACATCAGGAATCTGTCTTGCCTTTTCTGCTGGGCAGGCAAGGTCTGTGCCTTGCACTCCTATGCTCGTACGGAAAGGAGCACCCTGTCCTGGTTCGGAGCTTGCTGCCGCCGCATAAAGACAGGCGCAATATGTAAGTTTCAGAATGCACGGGACGCACTACCCGGAAGCACAGGACCTGATGGCAAGGAACCCTAAGAAGGCAGAGAGGGACAGACCCCTACTGCAATAGTCTGAAGCCCCCACAATTTCTCCGCTCAGGAGCAGTCCGCAAAACGCGCAGGACTCGTGCAAAGCGCAGCGAGCTCGCAGTGTTTGCAGCGGTAGCGGAAAGGCTGGTGAACTGCAAGGCTTCCAGAGCTGGAAGTACCTCAGCAAGTGCTTGGTTACGAATATCTGCAATTCTGGCTAGCATATCAGCACATCCCTGCTGAGAAAGTCTCTGCGAAGACACCACTACCAACGGAACTTGAGCTTTAAGAAGTATTTGTAGGGACTTAGTGCTTCAATCCTTCAGAGTCTGCGGTAGTGCACCGGGCATGGCCCCCACACGTCCCTCCATTGAATCTATAGCGATGAGGCTTCAAGACACCCTGGCTTTTGGAATTATTTAGCCGTTTGAGCCAGCAGAGAATCACAGGTACAGTTACTCAGTAGACGCCAATCTGTAGACTGCGCAGTTCAGAATGTGCCGCCACAAACAATATAATGGTATAGCGTAGCATGAGCTTGCCACGGCATGTCACATCTCAGAGCGCTTCAAGGAACAGGAACTTTCAAGGTAGGATACCCATAGGCCCCATAGTAGTTCCTTTTGGGGATTCTCTAAGAGCCCAAAAAGGAACTACTATGGGGCCTATGGGTAATCATAACCCGGTACTAAGCCCCAAAGGACCCTTCCAGGAGTCCAGGGGGCCCAGGTCTCCAAAATCATCAGCAGCGTGAGCAGAGTCTCGAAGCACAGCCAGCCATCCTGGAGGGATTGCCGCAGGCCACCATGCCCCAAATATCCTCGGAACACTTGGAGATTCGGGGGGATCAAGAACTCTGTAAAACCGGAGATTGATCCTGCAAATATCCCCAACTTCTCCGATTCGATGTGTGTTGCATTGAAGAGGCAGGCACTGAGCTTGAAAGCATTCTGAGCTGTTCTCAATGCTTGAGAACATATAAGGTCCAGCTCACTTACATATGCGGTTGTGGCTTCTTCTACTGGCACATGCTCAAGAGGTCCGCTGTCGTGTCTTTGCGGGTCGATTCAAACTCAGGATGCTGGCTTGGTATATATGAACATTGCAATATCCAGTAGGACCAGTAGGACCCCTAAATAATGAGGTGCGATCGAAACCCAACAATGAACACAGACAGTCCAGTCCAGGGCTCGAAGGACCAACTCCGTCAGGAAAAATACGCAGAAGACATTCTGCGTGACTGCAAACACCGGGGAAGCACCAGATAGATATCCGAAGAGGTTTCGGTTCAGCTCCACATCCATGGCCATCTCCACCTCGGGTTTACGTAGCATCTTGTGGTGTAGAATTGAGGGTCTCAGGGTTTAGGGTTCGGGCTGCGTACGTACATTCCCTCATAAGGAGGTGCCCTTTTCCTACTTGCTATAATTACTTGCTCAGCTTGAACGAGGAGACCCCGGAGACCCCCAAATACGAAAGAGCACATGCTTACATGCTAATGGTGGATCTGGTATGCATGGCGGATTGCATACGCAACGCCGTGCAAAAAAAGACTCATTCGGAATCGTTCGCTTCTGGCTTTCGCAATTTCAGGTGCGCGAATGACTGATGACGAGACATGTTTTTGTTGCAACAGCCGTGTTCAATCGGGCAAGACCTGCGGGTGTAAGTCGAGCTTGTGGACTGGGGTGGAAATTGGCTTCGACTTGAATACTTCTAGTAATCGTATTACAGTGTTACCCGTCTGTGTGTCGTTGGCTTTCTCGCGACCACGGGTGCCCAAGGTGGCTGCAAGCTGCAGCCCGAATGTCGCACACTCCAAGTCCGAAAGTCCAAATGCAGCGGATGCACGCAGAAGCCTGTACGAGCAACAAGTTATAAGTTATAATCACCCGGCAACCACACGAAGCACCAAAAGCAGAGAGCGGCGATGAGCGGCGCTGTTGAATGTTGTGTATGCGCTGCGGTTTCGCTGTTCACTCATCTGAAGCTCTTGAATGCTTCGCCACCTTGTGTATAATCGTGCGCGACGTGGACAAGAGTGGGCGTTATGGCTTCGAGTCGCACGAATTATTGCTTCCACAACCATATGCGTCAACTGCTCAACTGCTCAATACTGTCATTGACCTTGCTGAATCCGAAGAGGCTAAACTGGTGCACTATTAACCAAAGCGCTGCATTCAGGATAACCATCGTGAGCGCCAAACGCTCGAACCAGGGGTTCACCACGATCTTCGCACATTGGTTCTTCACCCGGTGCTTCGCAAGGTCAGACCTTACAGTGCTAGTTAGGCTCCAACGCAAGGAATAACAGGTGGTCAGGCACATTAGAACCAGCCTCTTCCAACTAAACCATCCCCCCGTGCTTAATCCACTGCCTAAAAGCACATGCACGCAAGCTCGCTGACCGTGGTTTGACGAGCATGAGAGTGCAACACCAACCAGAAACAGCCTCTTGAGCTTTTCGCTGAGGCTGCATGCCGGGCTCCACATGTCGTAAGCTTCAGCAGGACTTGTTAAAGGGAAATTAATTGCATGTAGCGGTGGGAGATAGGCTAATTAGTTCTTCGTCTGCGGTTGATTGGAAATGCATCTGCAACAGGAACTTCACCTGGAAGCAACAAACTGTTGTGGACTGTCTACTGTCTACAGAAAACCTCAACCATGAATTCTGACCCTACAGCCGAGAATTTCATGTCGAGCACATTTAGTCGAGGACAAGTATACGACTCCACACTGTGCAGAAAACACGCCCAACGCTTGTACCGCCTGTACATTCGGTTCGTCGCCAGACTCAGACACTGCCCGCTACTCAAAAACATGCCCCATAATTAGGAACGAGAACGAAAGGTAAAGACAAAGGAGACGGAGCCAGCTTGTCGTGGCTGGCAGTTTCACCCGCTGGGCGACTACATCATCCAACAGCCTGTAGGAGAAGTCAGTCCGGGTTCGTGCAGAATTTATTCCATGCTTCATGTCACAAACATTATGTAGTATGGGCTGCAGGACTACGAAGACTAAGTCACCATGCCTGAAGCTGCCCACAACCATGGAGGGAAGCTCAAGAATCATATCCCTCCCGCTGGCAAGCGAAATTATCTTCCTTGACATTCCTCTGCGAGCTGGACAGCCGGGTGGCGAGTGACCATCACGGGCGTTCTTCATAACAAAAGTAGGTGAGTACCTGTCTCAGGTTCTATAGATTCGGAGCAAAGCACAAGCATTGCTTCGGCTTCGGTTGGACCGAGTCGGCCGTGAAATGCAGAGAGGTCTGCTGCTTCTAAAACTACCCAGTCGCATCTCGCAGCCCTCTGCAGCGCATATCTCTCCGTGTGTGTGTGTGTGTGTATGTGTCTCTCTGTCTGTGTCTGTGTGTGTCTCTGTGTGTGTGCGTGTGTGTCTGTGTGTGTCTGTGTGTCTGTGTGTGTCTGTGTGTGTCTCTGTGTGTGTCTGTGTGTGTCTGTGTGTGTCTGTGTGTGTCTGTGTGTGTCTGTGTGTGTCTGTGTGTGTCTGTGTGTGTCTGTGTGTGTCTGTGTGTGTGTGTGTGTGTGTGCGTGTGTGAGTGAACCTCCCTAGC